TTCATAATGTAAATATTTCTTTATAAGTATAACTTATATATGAGCGTATAAAAGTATAACAAATATATGAGCGGTGTTAACTAAACATTTGTGGAGTCATGTGGAAATATTTTTTAATAATGATTTATATCTAGTCAATAACTGTTTCAGTGCGGCAGATAATAACATGCGTCTTGACATGGCTATGGCTGCAAAACAAAACTATCCTTCTGGAACTGAATTTAGCGCGCATTTAGAAAGCCAATTCGGCTGGGTGTTATAGTTTTTCTGACAGCTAGATGGTGCCAGAGCATTACTATATATAAAATGTATTTATTTATCTGTCAATGAAAATGTGAAATTTTAATTTTGAAAAATTAAGAAATTTGAAAAAAGTAATAATTTTTACTAAAAACTTAAAGAAATTTGAAATTAAAATTTTAACTTTACTTACTGCAAATTTATGCCCCGTTTACACGAAGGGAAGACGCAGATATTTCCCTGCGGTTTGGCCTCTCATTTACACGAAAACCCCGTTTTTAATCACAGAAAACGATATTTCTAAAAACTTCAACCAAAGTGGAGATTTCTGATAACGCCGGTTATGTGTTGCCATGTCAACTGGGAGAAACGGGGTTTTAGGTTCTCAAACGTCACATTGTGCGCCAGAAAATGCTTAACGTCACGTGAGCGCCCAGTTTGGCAGAGTTATGATGCCGCTCGACGGCGTATTTATGCGGGTTGATGTAAACGGCTGCACGGTTAATTGCAATAAACATGAAATCACGCTTAAACCAATTTGGCTTATTGCGATTATGAAATCGCAAAGCACTGCGAGTTTGAGTTACTTATAACGTGCATTTGAAAAGACACGCGTCAAACATCTTTCCAAACTAGAGATGCATTTATGAAGCCCTTGTCCAACAACATTTAACAAATCAATCAAAGCGTTTCAATCTTCTGTTTATCCAGCTACAGTGATAGCATGATGCCCACAGGGATTTACGTGCGTTATCTACTTCTGCTGGGCATATTTGGAGATTCTGCGTGAGACGCCCTCTGGTGTTCAGAAGGAGCAGCATTTACTACTGATCACAGAGCTGTACTTCTCTGACAAGCTGCGCATAACATAATCGCAGCCCATGCCAAACCCTGTGCAGTTTCATTTCGATTGATCGTGCAGCCCCAGTCCCACTCAACCTGAATTCACCCCGATAGAAATCTGGCATTGGAATTATTACTTTATGGAAATTTGGGGGTTTTAAGAACGCACAGAAACACAAAAGTTTTGCTTAGGGCCCCCAGAAGTGTAGGGTCGGCAGTGTCTGTGGGTTCTGCAAATATCTAACCAATGAAAAATGAAAAAGAGCCTGTGACTAAACCTTGTCCTCAAAGTGTCAGGCAAACCTCATAACTCCACCCACTTCCAAATGCGCCAAACATGAATTCATTTATTTGCAAATACATTTACACAGCCTCAAGTTGTTTCAAAACTGTATGAGTTTCTTTCTTCTATTAAAATACAAAAGATGCTATTTTGAAGAATGTTGTCGATGACAAGATGTCTCCGCAAAACGTTGCAAATGTATTGTCTTATAGTCTCGCAAATCTTGTGTCATCTGATCGCTCTTCTGAACTGCCCCCAATCAAACTTCATAAAGCTATTATCAATCAGATGTTACAAATGTTATTGTATTGTTTTACCCTTGTTCTCAGAAAATGAGAATCCATCTATCACATCTGCATATTTAATTCAAATCATTTCCATCAACAACTTTGCTTTTAAGAGTTTGGTGTTGATCATCAGGGAGAGGCATCTTTGAGATGGATTTCCAGTCATCTATAAGCATGTCATATTGTGCAAAAAGCATGCAAATATTTCTGAAATAATGGGCATTTGTGATACTTAAAATACTAGCTATGAAATTATCGATAGAAAGGCCATATTCTAAAAATATCAAACCAACAAATTTTCATTTAGTTTGTTCATAAAAACAACAAAAATGACTCCAAAAAAAAAATCTACAGGGTCAAAAAGGCCCAGAGTTGAAGAAACTCCCCTGTACGAGTCACTAGGAGGGAGACGTTTGCTACCCATGTACACACACACACACACACACACACACTGCAGGAAAGGAAGTGGTTGATTTTTTTGCAGTTTCAGCTGAAAAAGTAAGTCCTCATTTATAGGTCTGTCTCGTTTGAAACAATCACTGATCATAAAACAGAAAGAGAAAGAGGCAGAAAAAACTAGACCATGTCATTCATGTTTCTAAATCATAATAATCAATGAAAGAGATGCACAAAAGTATAGCTTACATCTACATCTGACAGCTAATGGCATTAATAGTACTTTCAGCAAATGTTTAAAATGAGAAGAAGACTCGGGTCATATTGGTAGTCGAGAGTAATGCTCATGAATTGATCGTTTCTGGCATCATGTTTCTGTGTGATGCTGCATCCACACCGACATGTGTCAGTATTCAGAGTTTAAGACCACCGTTTCATCGGCCCACGAAACAAACGAATGCGACTGCTTGCTTCTATGTTTCTGATAATCCAATAGGCGTTGTTGATATGTGAATGTGGGCAGTCATGCGTTAACATATTCATCTGTCTGACGAGTTGCGGAAGTTCAGAACGAGTCATTTGAGTATCTCTTTTTAACCTGAGGAAGAATTTGAGTTCTGAAAGTTACAGTATGTTTTCAGTGTCAAACATCAAACTCTTATCTCAGAAGATCAAGAGATTAGAATCAACATGATGAGTCCTTTAAGAGAGAAAGAAAATGTCATTTTTGTCTCATTTTGTCAATCGTGTGATGTTCAATGACCCTACCATATACTAAATCATGCACTCATAAGGCACGTTCACACCAAGGACAATAACTATAAAGATAAAGATATAGTTCTAAAAATCGTTCTAAATGTCCACACCACAACTATTACCATAAACACACAGAAGAACGATATCATCAAAATCACTTTTAGGACGATTTTTTTTTTTTTTTCAGCTGATGAACGATAAAAACATTGAAAGCCAATCAGAATCCATCCTGCTTTAAAGATCCTGAGCATTTAAAGCGACAGACGACAAAACTGCAGAGTGCCTATATAAAACAGAAATATAGCATGCGCTGGTATGGATGTTAATGTAGTTATCGTTATAGTTATTGCTCTTAGAGTGGATGGGCCTTTAGAATTCTTGACTCAATTTTAAAGATGCCCTTTTGGCAAAAAACTTTTCTGTCTTAAATGACTCTATAATGCTTTCATGTTTAACAGGTTATTTAAAAAAAAATCTAGTGATAAAGTATGTTTAATTCATAAAATGTAAATCAAAATTAAAATTAAATCCATAAAATGATGGAAAGCCCTAAAAGGTTCTATATATGAAGTTCTATACATGGAACCCTTTAAGGTTCCGTTTAGAACCTTTTCTTCGGTGACATCACTTGATTAATGACACGCCACTGAATACCAACAACCTCCAGGTATCAAAGTGCTTGAGAGTGATTTGAGCTGGGTAAACATGTATTAATCTTGATCTTTAAATGAATGACGCAGTAATGTGTTTAGCGCTGTACACTTGATGCATTGTGTAATTATCTGCGCGTTGGAAACCTGCATTCACAAACACCTTACTCATGAGCCTCACAGAAACATGCCCGCTCCCTTCTTTAGGTGGGTATTAATGGAGCGCCCACATTATATCCAGCCTCTCCCTGAGTTTAATACGACACTGAATGCTGGGAACGCAGCCATGAAAAGAATCAACACGTATTTACACATCACACCCATATACACATCTTCTACGGGGGCTGCGGTCAATGTATACAATAAATATGAGGCCTATGTAGCTATACGAGTATACACTTACAAATAACAATAACACATATGAATATGATAATCCCATAGTACAATGGTATATTAATAAAACAGCATTCGTATTGGATAAGTATTAAGAAAATAATAATCAATAAATATTATTCAATATATGTACATCTTTTTTTCATTTCAGTAAATAATAAATAAATAAATTCCAGTGTTTTTTATATTGATTGATAATAGTAATTAATATATTAGTAAGTGACAATTCACTTTACCTGTAAATGCTCATTCTGACCTCTCACAACGCAAGGAGACACATTCAGAAATGTTCATGAATAAAATTAATAATATACATATATTGAAGGTGAATTTTAATATTTATATATTCAAGTATAAACCGATTTTTGCGATTTCATTAACCTAAAATGTTGCGAATACAGTAGCTATGTTCTGCATTTATTCAGAATGTACAGTGTAAAATGTGGTCAGGTAACTAACAATTAATTAACATCTAAATTGACTGGTTATATTTTACTCACAAATATTATTGACTAAATAACAGTTACATTAGATTTCACCAATAAAAGTCATTTCTAAGGGTCAGACCAGGTCGAAAGAGCTTTTACTATATACTGTATCAAAATAGCATGCTACCATCATTTAACCAGCAGAACCACCACAGTATGAACAGTAGGTGCTATAATAAATTAAGTTTGCCTAACTGAACAATAGACTCACAAAACATATTTCTCAGTAGTAAAACTTCAAATATGCTTATCTGACTTAAAGGAAAATCCAATAAAATACATTAAATTGTTCACCTTGTGAATAGATGCATAAAATACATAACCCTGTGTGTGTGTGTGAGTGTGTGTGTGTGTGTGTGTGTGTGTGTGTGTGTGTGTGTGTGTGTGTGTGTGTGTGTGTGTGTGTGTGTGTGTGTGCATTTATGAGATTATCAGAATGCAAACATGTTGCTGAGTATGTTGGTATTAGTGCATAACACACTGCCAGTGTCTGCAGGTACGCAGGGAGGGTTTGTGCTTGGTGTGTGTGTGTGCGCGTGTGTGTGAGGTGCATGTCAGGTGGACACGTGCGGCCGGCTGCCAACATACTTTTGGTTTGGAGGGAGGGCTGGGTGGGTGTGAACTTTTGTTTAGTGTCTCTCTCTCTCTCTCTCTCTCTCTCCGTCTCTCTTTCCCTCTCCCTGATTCACGACACACCTTCTGTGCAAAACGCAACTCCTCTGCTTATCTCTCTCCCCCTGTCGCTCTCTCTCTCTCTCTCTCTCGTCTGTGTTCACTTTCACATGTTTGAATCGGAGGATAGCAGTCTGTTTCCTGACACGCAGAGACTTCTCTCCAAGAAGCAACTCCACCAGCAACACCTAAAGGTCAGCAACCACTACTTTCTGTCTCTCTGTCTTTCGCTCGAAGTTAGTTTCTCTCAGTGCCTGTCTAACTGCTCCATCACTGTCTGTGGTGAAATGTAAAGGGTTTGTGATGGAATTTTTTCGGCTTGTCTGGTGCATACGTCATGTAAAGTGCACTAGATTCTGCGGGACCCCCCCCACCCCCTCGTTCTCACCGTCTGTTTAATTAGAAAGTCTAATACAGTAAAATGAGATGACAGGGCAGGGACAGGGGTCTGATGCTATCTCAGCATCACTCAGTGTTGCCCTGCAAGAGAACTCCAGTTTGAGACAAATCAGGCTGCGACCAACATTATCCATTACGCCGCTACAGCGACTACACACAAAATGCATGAGAACCAAATTAAAATATGAGGAAAGTTGACATAATAAGTCTAAATATCTGCACTTGAGCCAAAAAAAAAAAAAAAAAAAAAAAAACGAATGTATTTTAGACTTTCATTATATGTCACTTGAATAGCATAATATTGCAATCTCAAGAACGCAAGCTTTTTTGTAAGGGTCTCATTCTTCAAGTCAGTAATGTAACGTACATAACAAGAGTACTAGGTTAAAGAATTTTGTTTTTGGGGTTTTATTATTGTATATCTATTGGGAACAGTATAAACATTCATTGAAAAATGACTATGGTATACATTCAACAAAGTCAATTATTATTAACTTTCAAATTAGGATTTAAGATTTCTGAATGATTTTCAATATTTCAAATGTTAACGTCTTCCGCTATTTGGAAAATAAGAAAGATTCTTTAAACGAATTAAAAAAGGAAAAATTCCAAAAATGAAACATTTAAAGTGAGCATTCTAAAGAAAAAAAAATCGTGGATTTTTTTTTTTTATAAACCTTTTTTTTTGGACGAGATTGCTTTGAAAACACCGATCAGCATGTTTCCACTATCTGCTGCCACTTTTATTCTGCGGAAACTTCACATGCGATGAAACTGTGAGCAGCACTGGCCGTGTCTAAGACGGAATACAGGAAACATCATTCATCTGCTCTCTTTGTGAACATAAGCCGAGACTCGATCAAGAATCTGGAGGATTAAATGCTGAAGTATTCAAACATGTAGATTCAGTGCACTCGGGTAAACTGTGTGAATACAGTATCCACACACACACACACAGAGAGAGAGGGGGAGCTTTGTTCGGTGTGGTCAGGGACACCGTATATCAGGTGAATGGGCAGATGACCGCCGGTCTCAATTATTCATTCATTTTAATTGTGGCTGTGACGGGTACCAGATTTCCTTTCAATGCCAAGCAGCTGCTTTTAGATCCATCACGGCATGTTCGAGCAGCCCTGATTAACCTGACATTAACAGGCCGTGATTACATAAAAACTCCTGCGGTGGGAGTCCAAGCCTCAGCGAGCGAGCGAGCGAGAGAGAGAGAAGAAGCGTGAGGGAGCGTGAGGGAGTGGGGTTATGCCGGGATACGCACCACGCCTTTGTCTGTCGAGTCACTAGGACAAGGTTTATCAAAGTTGAACCTGATCCGAAACAGTCTTTTGTTACACGGCAGATACTTTTACACTGGCGTGTTCTCAAACATAGAGAGTGTGGTGCGCTCCACGCGGGAGGGTGTGGGAACGAGGTAACAAGTTCAATGATTGGGTTCTAGATCACGGCTGGGAACAGATCCTACATACGCACACACATAGAGAGACTACAGACATACACACAAACACAGCTCAGAACAACACTGGGGTATTAGAACATCAGTGGTGAAAACTAGCAAAAAGAAGCTACTCATTTAATATATATATATTAAATACATTAAAATAGCTATAATATTCAAAATACACACCCAGTGTTGAGAATGTATACATTCAATGTAATCAATGTATTAAAGTGCTTTTAAGAAGTCTCTTCTGCTCATCAAGGCTGCCTTTATTTTATTTTATTTGATCAAAAGTACAGTAAAACAGTAATATTATTGCAAATGTGAATATATACATTAAAATGTCATTTATTCCTGTGATCAAAGCTGAATTTTCAGCATCATTACTCCAGGCTTCAGTGTCACATGATCCTTCAGAAATCACTCTAATATGATGATTTGCTGCTCAAGAAACATTTATGATTATTATCAATGTTGAAAATGAGTTGTGCCGCTTCATATTTTGGTCAAAACTGTGATCCTTTTTCTTCAGGATTCTTTGATGAATAGAATAGCATTTATTTGAAATGGATCATTTTGTAATATTCTTTACTGTCACTTTTGATCAGTTTAAATCATCCTTGCTGAATAAAAGTAAAAGTACTTAATTAATTGAGTTACACAGCTCTCTGGAATACTTGATTCTGATTGGTCACACGTGGCATTATGCAGTACAAGATATGTGTGCATCATGACGCTAAATTAAATATCGTTGTATCGTTGTCCCAGGCAACCGCTGTCCTACATACATGTACTAGTTTCATTATCGCAAAAAAAAAAAAGAGTGAAATTATTTAGTCCGATCTATTCACCAAATCTTTCAGTGCTAGTTTCATTATCACAAAGTAAACCCCCTCAGGTCGAAACAAACCCCTCAAATCATCCTGTCAGGGTTTATTTTGTGTTAATAACCAGCTGATCATTTCTTTTAATTTTGTTTAACAGTTGTGAGAGGAAATCTATGGTTTGATGTTACTTAATGGACACTATTGTATGAATGGGTGTGTGTGTGTGTGTGTTTGTAAGCAGTGAATCAATCTAATGAAAAGTTAGTTTGTCCAGTTTAAGACCCAAAGAGAGTTAGGGGATTCACATCCGCACACACAACACAACACAACGCCCACCAGCACACTCAAACAGAGAGTGAAATAATGCCTGCATATGTCATTCTCTTTCCTCTCTCTTCATCTTCAAAAAAGCATTTGTGGTGATGTAGGTAACGCTTATCTGTCAAACCGTGAGGACTGCCCTGACCTCACCTTTACACAGAGTGAGAGACAGTTAAACTCTCCCGGACCAATTTTCTTTTCTGCTGCATAAAACCGTTGTGTGTTTTCTGAGGTCACGACTGAATCTTTTATGACCCTGCTCTGAATAACCAGAGCTGTTAAACTGATTCATTCAAAAGTTAAACGGTTAACCCTGGATATTCACAGCCATACATTCAAGTACCTGATGCTGATGTCATAGCATGTTCATTTTAATAGCAACTGACCATGTGACATGGTCATGTAATTTCACTATCACTATGGTCACGGTGAGTGAGCTGAGCCGCTATTTATAAACTGGCTGGGATTATATGATATATCTTTAAGAATTCAACAAGTGTTTTTCTTTAGACGCTCCTACACATCACAAGGTCACATGACTAATCGCCCATAACAAACAGGAAATTAACCACAAATTTAGGTCAAAGTCTCCAGAAAGAAGAAAAAGTTGTATGCGTCTACAATGACGCTCTACAAGCTAATCTGTTTAATACAAACCAAACGGATTAATCTAAACATGATCAGCCCTTCAGGATCATAAACGGATCTAGATAGACATCATACAATAATTACTATGTTTAACAAGACTTTACAGTTCTATAACTAGACTTTATATACTTAATAACACAATCAGACTTATAATAACAACATTTTACTGTTCTATCACTATACTATATTATATTTATATTTTATTGTAACTGTACCAAACCTGATTAGACATTACTATAATCTGTTCTATTTCTAATCTATAACTAGACTATACTATAACCAAACCTGATCAGACTATACTATAATAATCTGTTTAACATCTAGATTAATCAAAAACTAGACTGTACTATAACCAAATTTTATTAGACTTGCTAAAACTTAACTTTACTATTCTATCATTAGACTAAACTAGAGCTATTCTTTACTCTAACCCAACCCAACCAGATTAGACTTAACTATAATGTGTAACCTAAACCTGATATCTAGACTATTCTATAACCAAACTTTTTATTAGACTAACTATAACTGAACTTTACTGTTCTACCACTAGACTATAACCAAACCTGATTAGACTTGACTACGCTATACTGTTCAGTAACCTGTAACCAGACTTTAGTTATACAAAAGTTACGTTTAGTATGGTATAGCAGACTATACTTCATTATTCTATACTTTATCATACTAAACTTTAATAGACTCTACATACTACAACTGTTCTGTTCTATAGCTAGACTAGACTACAACTAAACTGCATTTTTAAGTGCAGCTATACTACTTCCTGTACTGTAACATAGTTTAGTTTCTTTCAGCTGACATATCTTTCTTCTCGTTTAAGCCTGATCTGTTTCAGCGTTGGGCCGTGTGTGTTTGACTGATTTCCTCTGGTCTTCTATGAAAAGTGAGTGTGATGTGAGAGCAGCTGATTGAGGAACATCTAAACTCCTGTAGGTGTTTCCTGTGTGAGAAGAGTCACTGTAACCAGTGGCAACTCCCAGACTGTCTCCTCTCTCTGTTGCTCTGGGTAAATTACAGAAGCCCAAACACACACACACACACACACACACACACACACACACAGTGTTATTGAGGGCACCGCACCACAACACACCTTTACGTAGAGAGACCAAGCTCAGTTAACCACACACACCGAGAGAGAGCGAGAGAGAGAGAGAGAGGGAAAGCGGGCCGTTTTGTAATGTTGCTGTAAGATTTTGATTTTGAAACTGGGTCCACCCACTGGTGTGAGAAAAGAGGAGAGGCACAGAGGAGGGGTGTATGGAGAGAAAGACAGCGATAGAAATGAGTGTGTGGGCTATCATCACTCACTCACTCAGTTTAAAATAAGGACACATTGATCCACCCACCCTAACCCCACACACACACACACACACACACACACACCCACACACACACACACACACACACACAGAGACTGGAGCAGATACCTCAGCAGAGGAGTTCAGGCATCACAGCGGGCCGCTCTCGGGCCTGATGGACTGACAGTCGGGTTGTATTGTGTGACCTCAGGAAGTACACATGATTGAGG